GGGGGTCTGGCTGGGATCCCCCCCGGTGCTCAGCTCCCCAGGGAGGAGCTGCCCCTTGCTGTCTCATCCCTGGAGTAAACAAGTGGGTGAAACTCAACACCCAGTGGCCGCGGGTGGCTAAGAATAACGCCGGGGCCCTGCAATCTGCTCTCTCAGCCTTCCCCCTGCCAGCTGCTCCCCCCAGATGCTCCAGCTCCTCTCCCAGGGAGGGCAGGGAGCCCAGGCACCCAGTGCTGAGCAGCCGTGGGGGTCTCAGCCAGCCCTGGGACACAGTGACCAGGGCAGAGGAGCACCTACCAGCCAGCACTGGCTGCTGAGAAAGGAGGAGCTGGTGGAGGTGAGCCCCAAATGGCAGGCAGGCAGCAGCAGGCAGGGTCTGCTGGGGACATGACTCATCACAAGGTCCTGGAGGCACTGACTGAGCCCCCAGCCCACCTCTGAGGGGGTATGCTCAGCACCAAACAGGACTGGACATCTGGAGACGGAGCCAGGGATGGGGAGAAGACCCCTTCCTCATAATCGTCCTCCTCCCTGAAGCATCGGGGCTATTCCAGAGGCAAGGAACATACACTGCATCCCAGTGTCCTCAGGAAACATGGGGGGCACTGGACATGGCTGCACACATCCCTCCCCCAGCTCCTGTCCAGCAGTGAGAACCACAGAGGAGAACATCAACCCAAAACTCATCTTGGGTGACCACAGCCAGGGACAAGGGGCTGGTCCCCCACCACGGATGGGGATGGGAAGGTTTCAGAGGTAACCTGTCCCCAGCCTGAGCCACAGCTGCTGCCCCAACAGCACCAGAAAAGCAAGTGATGATCAGAGGAACCTTTTCCACCCTGTGACTCCAGCACAGACTCCCCTTTGCTCTGTTACAGCTCTTCTTTCAGAAGTTCAAAAATAAAATTCCCTTCCGCTGCCGTTTCTGTTTCCTTCACACTAAAGCAGCTAAGAAGAAAAGGGAAGAGGAGCCCTCACCCTCTCCCAGGAGACGTTGTTCCCTCTCACACACTCCCTGGTGCCTTTTTCCTGCCTTTGTTTACAACATCCAAGCGACTCTCCCACATCTCACCCGACATTCCAGCCGGGCTCCCCAGTGGGACAGGATCCACCTGGCTCCAAACCCCAGCAGCGACCGAGCCTTCCTCCTGGCACACCTTCCTCCACAAACCACCTCTGCTTCCCAGCTTTTGGACTTCTTTTCCTTTTAGATGATTTAAAGGGTGAATCCTTCCTCTGCTATTGCAGCCTCGAGCTGGGCTGAAACTGGGAGAAACAGCAGTCTGGGGTCTCCTTTTCCTTCCAGGGGTGGGAAGCTGCTCAGTGGGACTTCCTTGGGATTTAAGGACGGAAGCTGAACTGCACATGGATAATCCTGTTTTGGTCACTGCAACTGAAATACCAGATCATCTTTGAGTACAGTCTTTGTTGGGCCTGACCCCACGAGCCATCCCTGAGCTGGGCCTTTCATGTTCTCCAGCATCTTGAACTTAAGCAGAAAGTGCCCTAGGGACCTGCCCAAGGGATGGAGGAACCTGCCCATGGGATGGAGGAACCTGCTCAAGGGATGGAGGGACCTGCTCAAGGGATGGAGGAACCTGCTCAAGGGATGGAGGAACCTGCTCAAGGGATGGAGGAACCTGCTCAAGGGACGGAGGGACCCACCTGCCACCCCACACCCAGCAGCTCCA